TGTAACATTACTAGCGACCTGAAGTTGTGTATCTACTATAAACAATTCATATTCGTCGATGACACATACGATAATTCATATTTACAACGTACTCTCGTATTATATTTATTAGTCTTTTATCATTATTTACTGAGGGTATGTACGTCAATTCACAATTAAATTAATGACATAATGACACTTTGTAATTTATTAGTAGAAACGAAACGAATGTTTATTCAAAAAAAAATATAATCAACAAGAAACATTAAAACCATGCATATATTTTAATCGGATTATTTTAATTTTCAAAACTAATGAACATCGAAGATCAATGATATTAAATTCTAGTAGTCAAGTTATTTATAACCCTGATTATTTATATAAGCGACTTCAAACAAGTAGGTAGTTAGTATTTTGTATTTATTATGATATACATATCCTCGTGAATTTTGAACTAATTTTGATGATTACATTTTATTAAATAGGCTGTGAATATATCTCAATAATATTCTGAAGGAACATTGAGTATAAAAATTAAGTCATAACAATTAAAATTGTATAGACGACAATTGAGAGTGAGGGAATAGAGAGTGCACCTGTGCTTGCGCATACACTTAGGCACTTATTATTATTATTATTATTATAGACGACAATCTAGCAAATTTAAATTGTGACATTGATTGTTTACACTCAAAAGGTTCAAAAAAGTAAAAAATTACTCCAAAAAACTAAACTTTTAGCAACGATTTCAGAAGTTATCAAATTATATGAAATACGAGTATTTGATTATTGGGGGATAAGTCGCTCGCGTCCGTAGGCTATGACCACCTATTCCTAGGCCCACCCTACACGTGTCCCCCGGGTGGTGCTAAATGAGCAACAAGCCGATACCACAGACTCGGCTCCACGCCATGGTAGCGGTGTAAAACATACTACCTAATATTTTCGCACCATGAGGAACTATATAAAAGAAATGGCCCCGAGTTCCCGGCGCCCCTTTAATGGGGCAGGGGTGCGAAGAATCTCCGGGAGGAAATACCGGCGACGAGGTTCGCCACCCGTCACGTTCTGTCTCCCGAAGAGGCGAAAAGTGGATTACAGAGGCCCGTCTGGCTACGTTGAATGTATGTGGGGCAATGAATGATAAAATGGATGAAGTATGCGATATGATGTATGATAGAGGAATAGATGTGTTATGTGTAAATGAGACGAAAAGGAAGGGGAAGGATGTCACTACACATGGCATGTATACCACATACTGGTCTGGTGTAGACGAGATCGAGCGGGCATGCCAGGGAGTAGGTATCATCCTTTCAGAAAGAATGGGCCAATGTGTGAAAGAGTATGAATGTGTAAGCCCAAGACTGCTATGGATACGAATGAAAGTGGGCTTAAAGAAGTTGTTTGTGTTAGGGGTCTACGCCCCAGACATGTCTAAGCCCACTTATATCCGAGAGCAGTTTTGGGAAATGGTAAGGATGGTGTTAATGAAGTGTAAGGGAAATGAAAATATTATTATGCTAGGAGATTTTAATGGAAGGGTTGGGGTGAGGAGGCTTGGTTATGAAAGGATATTGGGAACGTTTGGTGATGAAAGTATAAATGAGAATGGTGAAAGTCTCCTCACCGTATGTATGAAAAAGAATCTTTTTGTGACGAACACTTGCTTTCGCCACAAGAGGATTCACATGTATACTTGGGAAAGAGGTGACGATAGAAGCATGATAGATTTCATAAATGTGGATGAAAGATTGAGGGGCGCAGTGGTGGATACAAGGGTTTAGCGGGGTTCTAACGTAGGAACGGATCATTATTTGGTTTTATGCCGAATTAATGGTCTATTCAGGCGTTGGCGCCATCGATCATCTGTTCTACCACTGCGTTACAGCGTATTAGAAGAGAAAGGTTACAAGATGAAGGTGAGAAAAACAAGTTCAAATGTAGACTGAAAGAAAATATAAGTGGTTTGGATGAATTATGTATGAAGGAGTTAGACTTGGAGAGTGTATGGCAAAATGTAAAGAAAGGTTTAGTGGATGCAGCTACCGAAGTATGTGGTGTTAGTAAGAGGAAGAATGAAAGGAAAAATAATACGTTATGGTGGGATGATGAGATACGTATGGAGGTTGAAGCAAAGAAGAGAGCATGGCTAGATTTACTAGCAACAAAGGCTGGTAATTCTAGCGGTACGAATGATGATATTGAAAGAAAAAAGGCAGTATTTAAACGTCTCAATAAGAGAGTAAAAGAAGTAGTTGAAAGAAAAAAAAGCAAGAAAGAACGGATAAAAATGATAGAAGAATAGCGGATAACTTCCAGGCAAATATTAAAATATTCTAGAAACTTGTAAGAACTGCCAGGGGACATTCAAAACAGCCTATGATGAGTGTTACAAGAGAGGAGAATGGCTATATTCTGAAAGATGAAGTTTTGAGTTTAAAGAGATAGAAGGAATATTTTGAAAGCGTGTTTATGAGTGAGGAGACAACGTGTGTACTAACTGAAGTAGAAACTCCGAAAGAAGAGGAAAGAGATAGCGAGATAAGTATAAATGAAATAATGAAAGCAAGGAAAGCATGAAAGCAGGTAAGGCTGCCTATATGATAGAGTTTCACTCGAAATGCTAAGGGCTGGAGAGGAAGTCGTGGCAGGCCTGCTGCACACCTAATTTAATTTATACTGGGAACTGAAGCAGGTACCGGTAGACTGGTGCAAAGCTGTGATAGTCCCAGTATATAAAGGAAAAGGGTCGCAGCAGGACTGTAAAAATTACCGTGGCATCAGCCTTCTTAGCATTGTGGGAAAACTGTAGTTAAGGATCAGCCTTCTTAGCATTGTGGGAAAACTGTATGCTAAGGTACTGATTGAAAGGGTCATGAAAGAAACTGATGGAAAAATTTGGGATGTGCAAGCGGGATTCACAAAGGGAATGGGATGTACAGATCAAGTCTTTTCCATGCGCATGATCGCGGAGAAGTTTTTGGCCAAAAACCAAAAGGTTTTTGTGCGTTCATGGACTTGGAAAAGGCCTATGACAGATGGATAGGGATGTGCTATGGCAAACGCTGAACTCATTTGGGTGGGCGCTGGCTTGATATAGGCATTGGGGTCTCTTTATAGGGACTCTAGTGCTTGTGTTAGGATCAACGGGATCTACTCGGACTGGTTTGACATCCATAAAGGTGTCGGACAGGGCTGTGTGGCTTCCCCGTGGCTGTTCAACCTATTTATGGACAGTTGTTTGCAACATTTGAAAGTTGAATAATGCGGATTAAGAATGGGTGAGTTAACCGTCAAATGCCTTTTGTACGCCGATGATCAAGTTATCCTTACATCGTCGGCGGCCGAGTTGCAAATGATGGTTACATTAATGAACAGATCATTAAAAGAAAGATTTTTCAAAATTTCAGGGGTATGAAAGTGAACGCAAGTAAGACGAAGGTTATGGTTTTTGAAAGAGAAGAAAGTAAAACGATTTGTGAAATAAGAATAGAAGGGGAGTTGATCGAGCAAGTAGATGAGTTTGTATATTTGGGCTGCGTATTTAGCAGGGATGGGAGATATGATAAGGATATAGAACGACGAGTGAATGCGGGAAATAGAGTAAATGGGGCCCTGCACTCTATTGTGAAGAGTCAAAATGTGTCAAAAAAGGCACGTATGGCAATTCACAATGCTGTCTTGGTCCCTACTTTAACGTATGGTAGTGAAAGTTGGGTGTGGCAGAAGAAGCACGAAAGTAGAATCAACGCAGTAGAAATGCGGTCCTTAGGGAGTATGTTAGGGCTGAATCTGAACGACAGGGTAAGAAATTGTGTAATAAGAGAAGAGTGTGGTTTGCAAGATGATGTTGTGACCAGGATTAAGAAAGGAATGCTTCGGTGGTTTGGTCATGTGGAAAGAATGAATGAGGAAAGAGTGACAAAGAAAATTTATGTTGCAGAAGTGAATGGCAGAGTCGGAAAGGGACATCCTAGGCGAAAATGTATCGACCAAATTGGCGATTTTTATTGAAAACGGGCCAAATTAGTTAACAAATTAGTTAACAAACGGGCTTAACCGACGAGCATGTATGCGTAGGTGTATGGATGTAAAGGAGGCGAGAGAGGTGTGTCAGGATCGTGCCAAATGGAAGTCTGTAGTCTCTGCCTACTACTCTGGGTAACAGGCGTGAGTGTTTATGTTTATTTTATGATTATTTTTAATGTTGTCATATTAATTGTCATTTTTATTTCATTTATTTTGAATTTTAGTTATTTAATGTTAATTGTTGTTTATTTGTTTGTATTTGTGTTGTACGGGTGATAATGTATTTGTAAATTATAACTTGAAACCTTAATGATTTGAACAAAATTTCAATATGTTTTTGGTAGGAATGTCTTAGTATTCACAATTAAATTTTTTGACGACGTGTCTTTAATGAACACTGTGGAAGAATATTTTAATAATTTTTGTTTAATAAAATTTCAAAACGTGTTTTTGAAAATAACTTGTTTATAAAGACGAATCAGTTTGCCTAAACTCAAACAACCTTTACTGAATTTAGCCGTCTGCCTGTTTACTTACCAAACATTTACTTAGCTACGACAGTCGTGTCCCATAACAGTCAATAAAAAAATATATTTCTGGAAGTCAAGCTTAAATAAACATGTAATTTTTTAATCTTGTTATGTTAAATTTGTATTTAATATAACAAGATTAAAAAATTACATGTTCGCTTGAAAGTTGTATTGTTACAATAATTATTCAAAACTGTTCATTTTCTTTTATTTACAGTCAGGCAGAAATTTTCAGTCATTTTCATTTCAGTCGACTATTGAATGCGACACAACAATTGATTAAAGAAAGACGATCTAATTAGTCTTCTGACAAATGACGTAATAAGTAATACATTTTATGTAATCTATAACTGAACTTACCCACAACTCTAGGCAGGTGACAGGACCAGGTTGCAATAAGTGAATTATGAGACGGGTGTTAATGTAACCAAAAATCTATTGCTAAGTTAGTGTGTAACAATTATGCCAAATTCTAAAAAAAACTGCTTATCTCACTGTGGCAATGCACTCGTTGAGGCCGAATATGAATGCATATTTATGTGGCTAAGCTTAAGTTAGTTAGATGAAACAACGATTTGCGAGACTACTGATCGCAATTGAATATACAATACAATAAAATAGATGCCAGCATCTTTTGTTCGAATACAATATGAGTGGCTTCAAGTCAAGAGCTCCATGTAGGCAAGTGATATGTCAATCCACCTTTATCCAAACTGGGTCTACTTTACATGATGTCTTCTATATAGATTACTACGTTTTAAAATATAATATGGACATCAATCTGCAAATTCGGAATTAAAAAGGCAATTTCTCTAGTGTTTCGGTTGTTCATGGGCTGTGGTTGTTTAACTTACGATCAGGTGAACCGTATGCTTGTTTGCCCCCTCTTCTATAAAAAAGGCAGTTTATGGTATTCGTACCTACGTAAGAATAACGTTCAGGAAAAACAAGTGTTTATTGCAATAAGTTTACGCATAAATCTAAAAAGGATGATATAAATCCATTGAACCTTGTTAACAGTAAAAGAAAACAGCGAGCATATAACAATATAACAAAAAAATTATATAAATTAATTAATCTATTTCTGTCATGTAACTATCTATGTTTTAGTAGTTTTTTCTTATTAACATTTTTTTTAAACATTGTAATAATAATTAATTGATCTGTTTCATCGCAGCACTGAAATAATAATGCTTCCTGTTCCTTCAAGCTACTCTGTGCGCTACAGTGTTCGGCACGGCTCTGAGCCTTACTGCTCGCCTCTGCTTCACGGCACTCTCGTATATTACTTGCCTTCTTCTTGACTCACCGCAGACTACAACGCAATCCACTAGCACTTGCACATGCGTCGGCGTCAGGCGGCGCTGTCATCGCGCCGCAAGCGAAATACACCGAAACCTAAATCACGCTATCAAAATTCCGAATCATAAACAGTATATATAGAACATCTCCGAACTATCACACGGAGTGTTGGCAGCTCCCCGGGCAGAATACCTTGCTCGGCGGGAGATCTCCCCTTTTCCTTCCAGTCCACGTGGCCAGAGGATCACGTCGAGGTTACCACTATAATAGCGATGATATGAGGTCCACTATTAACAGACTCCGAGTGGTTTAGTGGCGGAGAAATTAAACTATTTTTTGATGTGCAGACGAATGGAGTATGGAGAAGTATTTTTTGGTCAACCCTGCCTATATTTATATGTCCAGCTACGTCGTTAGTTTACCTAGCCAATTACAATTCATACATTCTGACCAATAAAGATTAATCAAAAATATTAAGCTCAACTATTATGTACGCTCCATTTGCCGGCGTGAGACTCGTGTATAGCTTCTCGTAGCTTGGTTGTTGGACGGGGCTATAAAAGTGGCGCAGACCGGCGCGCGCCCCCTCCTTCTAGGCCATCAGCCACCTCCAACTCCCACTTCCAAAACCTACACCAACTGCAAGGGCTTCAAGAAGTCTCTAGCCTCGGCTATGGATTCTCCGGACCCTCCCATAACCCTCTCTTCCGACGTCTTCGACAGTACGGGGAAAATAGACACCGCGTCGAAAATCTCACCTCTCTTATAACATTCTCTCTTAAAGAAAATGAAAAGGTTGTCCCGGTTGCTAAAACTAGTCTTCCTCTAGATATTAGCAACCTGCTCAAAGCCAAAAAAGCTACTCTCCGTAGAGATGCACGCTATCCCACTCCCGAGTACAGACTCGCTGCTCACCGCCTTCAACGCAAACTCCGTTATCGCCTCAAAGATTTCAGAGACCTCGAAAGGGGCAATCTCATGGAGAATATCTCCCCCTCTCACACAGCGTACTACCAGATGGCGAGAGCCCTCCGGATAGACGCTATCACGCATACTCTCCCTCTGTCTCGTCCAGACGGCTCTATTGCCTTCGAGGACGAAGAAAAGGCTGAGTGCTTCGCCGACAGCGTCGCCGCTCAATGCTCTCCCAGCTCACAACCCACTGATCCCCTACATATCAAACTAGTGGAGGACGAGGTCCGTCGCCGGAACTCACCCCCCACCACCTCTGACCCTATCACTGTGTCCAAAGATGAGATTTCATCTACCATCAAAGGACTTAAGCCCAAAAAAGCACCAGGCGCGGATGGCATCTCCAACCAAGCCCTCAAACACTTTCCAGAGCAGGTGATCGCCTTATTGGCCGTAATCTTCAACGCCTGCTTCGAATAAAGCTACTTTCCCACCTCTTGGAAACAGGCAACTGCCATTGGCATTCCCAAGCCAGGCAAACCTCACCACCTCCCCTCTAATCACCGTCCCATCAACCTCCTCAAGGCCATGGGCAAACTTTTCGAACGAGTTATTCTCGTGCGCATGAGGCGCCACTTGTTTCCCACAGACGGCGACCCTCTTGTCATCCCTCGACAATTCGGGTTTCGAGCCAAACACTCGTGCCCCCAGCAAGTTCACCGCATAGTGGAATATATCCTCAGCGGCTTTTACCCTCGTCGTCAAAAGACCATCGCGGTCTTTTTTGACATTGCCAAGGCATTCGACAGAGTCTGGCAAGAGGGCCTTATCTACAATTTGTACGACTTAGGTCTCGTCCGCCTTGTAGCCTCCTATTTGTAGGATCGTACCTTTCGTTTTAGACACGAAGGCACGCTATCCTCTACTCGTCAAATCAAAGCCGGTGTCCCTCAAGGCTCTGTGCTTGACCCCCTCCTATATATACTATTCACCAACGACATCCCCATCCCGTCGAATGGTGTTAAACTAGCCCTCTTCGCAGATGATACAGCCCTTTTCTCTAAAGGCAACTCACTGTCACAGATTTCTAACAAGATCCAAAAGTCAGTTAACGACTTAGGAGCTTGGTTCCTAAAATAGCGTATCGACGTAAACCCGGAGAAGAGCTCCGCCATTTGCTTCGAATATAAACAACGCCGTCTCACCGCCACTCCGCCAATCAGGATGTTAGGAACCCCTGTCCCGTGGAAAACAAAAGCCAAATATTTAGGCGTCACCCTTGATGCAAGGCTCACTTTCTTGCATCAAGGTAGATAGGCTCAACAGCATGTTGGGCAGACACAGTAAAATGTCCCTCCGCAACAAGCGAACACTATATAAGGTCTGTATACGACCTGTTATGACCTACGCGGCCCCCATTTTCGCACATGCTAAACCCAAACTTATAAATGAACTTCAAATAGTTCAAAATCTATTCTGTCGTAGGGCCACTAACTCGCCCTATTGTGTCCGTAATGCCGACCTACACCGCGACTTAGAGCTCCCAAAAATCCAGCAGTTCCTTAAATCACTCTCTGAGAGATTTTTCAAAGCCTCAGAGTCCCACCCAAATCATCTCATTCGCGAGACAGCTGCCTATGCAGCCCCTCTCCACACTCGCTATAGTGTGCGCAGACCGAGAAACTCTCTCTCGGACCCCCGCCCCCCCAACAAGCTTTCGGCTGACCTGAACTGCCTCCTGGCGGCTCAGGCCGAGCCTACTTAACACAACCCTTAATCTGCCTTAGTTAGGCACACTTCTAAGCGACTTTTCGCCGCTTGCGCCCTCCTTTCTGCCAAGGAGGGTCGCGTCCGTGTACGGCTCAAAGATCTCTCGTCAGATCGGTAAGCCAATCCATAAAGGTGGGGTGTAGTGGGTAAAAGTCTCCACATAACCACGCAGCCGGCTGCGTGGTATGCAATGAGCATTCCCCACCTCCCTCCCCCGCTTTCCGGAGGGTTGCCAATATTTGCTTAGGGCGCAAAAAAAAGGAAAAAGAAAAAACGCGCGCGCGTAATCGGCGAGCGGTGGCGGCATGAGACACATCTCCGGAACAGCAAGAAGAAGCGAAACTGCGGCGTTGAAGAAACGACTCGAAAATGGTCGACGGATGCATGAAGATAGCCGGCGTGAAAAGAAGATGCGCCGCTGATGATATTTGCGGCTGTTTCTTGTTTTTATATTAGAACATTAAATATATACGTAAAACTTATCTCGTATTGATATGCAGCCCGCAGTATCTCAGTAGCCGGGGGTAATTAGAAAATAAATGTTTTCTTCAGACCTTCGCCTTCTGTGTTATGGTAGCAGCGGGGTATATATTATTTATTGCCGTTTAGGGTTGATTAGCCTGGCTGCTACATATTGTATGGGTTAATTTCTGCTATAATATATACCGAATTGTGTTGGTTTTCAACTTCGATTGTGTTTTAGTTTTTTTTTCGTCCTACGAACCTACCAGTACCGTTGAACATCACAATATGGACGAAATAATAATATGAAGAACTTCAACTTTTCCTACCTTTGGCACCCATCACGATTTAAGACAATAGATAATATATTGTATAATAGATAAGAGCTTAATGATCATTATTTGTATGCTTGACATACATTAATACGAGAGCCGTGGTAGCTCAGATGATTTGCGCTCGCTGTAAATTTCACAGTACGCGAGCAAATCGGATTCGATCCCCGCCGGCACCAATGAAATTGTTAATTGCAATTTTAAGTGCTGATTTATCACGTGCTCGGCGGTAAAGGAAAACATCGTGAGGAAACCTGCATGTCAGATAAATAAGAAAAAAAAATATTTCTAAGACATGTGAAGTTCGCCAACACGCATTGGGGCAGCGCGGTGGACAATTCCTTGCCCTAAAATCCTCTCAGAAATGAGCGGAGTCCTGTGCCCAGCAGTGGGACGTATATAGGCTGTAACTTTACTTTAACTTTTACATTAATACAACCCTGACAGCACTACCGCAGCAAGGTTCTCGAATAGACACCGGTCCCGACTGACTAGATGTAGAAAGCTCCACTATGGAATTCTCTAGAAGGATTAGTTCCGCTGCTCCATACTAGATGGCGCTAGCGCCATGTGCAATACAATACTAAAGTACTACCAGCCTATTATTTAAAAGAAATTGTGCTGTTAATTATATTTAAATGTGTTGAATATGTTTTGTCTTTTCTTAAGATCCATTAAGTTTTTGACACAAAAAAAACAATTTTACATCCATTATGAACTAAAAGGATTTCCATTTTTATAAGCACCCACTGTTATTGAATTACTTGAAATTCACATATTAAAATTGAAATTTTGACGTGGCTACGTGTAATAAATAGATGAACGCCGGCTACACGCACGAAAAATGATGACTCATTGTAACAATACGATCGGAGTGAGAGCGTTGCACGAGCGAGCGAAAGGCACGATCGGCTTGAGCGTAAAAGTAAATTTATCAATTAAATTGTAGATTTTATTTTACTTCTTATTTGTATTCTTAAAAAAAAATCAATAAAAATGATCCAATTTTATTCATAAAAGTATGTAAGCATTTTATCAATGTTTTTATGACGTTGTCACGTTAAACTATCGTCCGTAAATCGACTTTACCAACAACCAACTTTTTTGTGTACATTTATGTGATAGCTGGACAAACAGATATTATTTTTGTCTATTCAATTATCACATGTTCTATATCACTGTAGCGGATTGTAATTAAATAAAAATCTTTTATTCATGTGCAATGTTTATATTACATTTCAGATATAATAATGCTATAATTTTGCAAGTTAAGACAAAGGTATTTTACTTCATGGTAAAAATCAAAAAAAAATATCGATATATCGGTTTTATTTAAAAAAAAACAAACGTAAGTCATTTTAGTTTAGTTTGTTTATTATATTTATTAAGCAAATCAAATTATAAATGTAAGAAAATGTTAGATTATAGTTCCTATTAATTATTGTTTAATTTAAATAAGATGATTATGTGTACCAATATTTTTTCGTAAGAGTTTTCAAAAATACTCGTTGTTTTGTATGTTCTGCTGTTAAATATGTTTAAAAGTAGGTACAGGTGATACAGATATAGCTGAAGAAATGAAGTATTTACAGCTATTTAGATAGAACGGGAGTAAACTGTCTACCCAGCAGACAGTCGATAACGACAGTAACTCAAGTTCATAAGACGCCTAACCGATCAAAATAACTTGAGGTTTATATTAACATCGAAGCACTTTTTTCGTCCTTTTCTCTAATAGTTTACACGTGCAGACACTTAAATCACAAAATCGCATCACTTCTATGAATCAAATTCCACTTCAAACCATTGTTTAAGCGATAAAACGGAAGCAAAAATCCATCGACGGTCAAGTTAAGGTTTTAGAATGTTTTAAGCTTAGAGTGTCAGACCAGATCTTAAGTGATTTATTGTGATAAAGAGTTTCAAGGGTCAATCGGGCTATGCTTCTTGAGATTCCACAAAATGGCTCAGGTCCAGATTGTGTGCACTTTGAGCCCTCCCGTGCAAGTTTGTCGGCAAATTCGTTGCCACTCCTCCGCCCTGTTGTTACATATCAGGGCATTTAAACGGTTCACGCAGTCTCCAACTAGCTTCGAGTTCACTAAGTTTGACCTCAGCGCTAGCAGTGCTGCTTGACTATCAGAGTTTATGTAAATTATATGGTTGGCGTAGTGTTTTTGCAGGTTGGTTTCTGCACACCGATGTTTGGCGAAAATTTCTGCCTGGAAGATGGAGGTGTATCTACCCAAATTCATGCTAAGTTTGAATTTGGGGCGTTCCCCGTAAATTCCAAAGTCTACGTAGAGGCCCATTTTAGACCCATCGGTGTACCATATGAGGCTACCGACCTCACAGATAACCTGGCCATTCAGCCAGTCTTCTCTGGAGGGTAATTCCACTATATACTTTTTATAAAAAGTGTGTAGTGGACGCATGATATCTGAGATCATGCATAAGACCGGTGATTCCTTAATTTAGTCGAGCATGGGTCTCAATCTGTAGGAGAGCAAGCTCAGACCACCCTGGGTTTTAATCCTATATAAACTAGCCCTCGCCTCCTTGTCTAGATAGAGATCTGGGGGTGTTAGGTATAGAAGTTAGGTATGGAAGGAAAAGGGGAGATCTCCCGCCGGGCAAGGTGTTCTGCCCGGGGAGCGGCCAACACTCCGTGTGATAGTTCGGAGATGTTCTATATATGTTATCTATATATGTTCTATATACTGTTTATGATTCGGAATTTTGGTGGCGTGATTTAGGCTTCGGTGTGTTTTGCTTGCGGCGCGACGACAGTGCCACCACGTGCATTAAGAGTCACTCCAGGCGATGATCGCATAGCTCCAGTTGCCATTAAGCAGGCAGTCCTTTTTAGACTATTAAGTCTGTACGCAGTCGTCTCTTGGTTGGCCTTGTTACACC